AAATATATGGAGATTTATTATTGAACATATTATCATTCTTCTGGTCTTTGGATAAAATATACTCAATATCAGAAAGTACTTAGTTTATTTCCTAGAGAAAGTAATGATTGAAGTAAAGATTCCTTGACATTTATGTTATTCTTCTAGCGTTGAAGGATCAGTAGATAAGATCATTAACAGTGTCTGGGGCTTTACAATTTCCCAATCCAATTGCCTCTGTTCATTGCCTCCTATAACCATGTGAAGTATGATGTATGTGGCAATACATGAAATGTGTATATAAAGTATGTCCAATAAACATAATATATATAAAGCATATACAAATATATATACTATGTGTATATGAATTATGTACCAATATATATACAATGTATATAGGAAGGGCATACAACTTCAGAGAAATACATAACTTTTCAGTATGATAAAACAATCAAGGTCCCAATCAAGTTAGTTAACTTTTTCCATTATACCGTGTTGCTTCCATCTAAAAACATTGCAGGGTAAGCTGCAGTTAGCATTTGGAATGAATGTGGTTTCTTCAGGTGATTTTTAAAAAATATATCTTTTGAACTTCATAATAGTTTTACATTTACAGAGAGGCTGCAAAGAGGGCACAGAGGGTTCCTGTATGCCCCACACCGAGTTTCCCCCTTTTTAAAATATCTTATATTGCTGCTATGTATCAGTATTGAAACCGTATTTTTAAAGCCCACACATTACTTGGATTTTCTTAGTTTTTACGTATCTGTTTCAGGATCCTTTCCAGGATACCACACTAGTCAAGTTCAGTTATCATGTCTCTTTTCCTTCTCTAGATTGCGACGGTTTCTCAGACTTCCCTTATTTTGGCTGATCTTAACAGTTTTGAGGATTTCTGGACTGGCATTTTATAGGGTATTTCTCATTTTGTGTTTGGTGTTTTTCTCATGGTTAGGTTGGGATTAATGGGTTTCGGAGAGGAGGAGCTCAGAGGCAATGTGCCTTTCTCATCACATCATACCAAGGGTCCATACAGTCCACATGACTTCCCGTTGTCGATGACTGGTGTGCTGTGTATACTGTTTGCCAGAGCTTCCCATGGTTAAGTTACCCTCCTCTTTCTTTCCATACCGTATCCTTGGGAAAGAAGTCACTGTATGTAGCCTGCTCTTAAGGAATAGGATTTATGTTTCCCTTCCTTGAGGAGGGACTTCACTGGATTTTATCTGCCTCAACTTATTAGCGAAGAATATTACCTCTGCCGGATCATGTTGTCCGAGAGATGTAACAAGATTCATATTAATTGAGCAATTGTCTTACAATTGTCTCCTAATGTATGCTTGTAAATCAAACCCAAGAGTTCTTTTAACTCCAGGTTGAAATGAAATGGAATTTTACAGCTAAATTGAAACCGGTCTTGAAGAATTTCATGACAAGTCATGAAATATTTTATGGGTAGTATTCTTAACGCACCTCCTATAAATACTTAACATGTTATTTGCTATGTACAAACTAATAAATTGAAGCATCTTACTATCAGAGTGAAATGTAATTTTTAGACATGTTTTCTGCCATGTAAATTGCCCTAGTGGTAACATTGGAGTTTAATGTCGGGAATTAAAAAGAATGTGCACCCTCCAGAAAGAAATATTGAAAAACAGATGCTATTTAAACGTAAACACGGAAAATAGATTTGTCTTCCACCAAATGAATCACATTTAACAAGTATTTATCTCATCTTAACACAGTAATAATTTTCTTGGGTATTTTAAATGAGAAAAAAAAAATTTGACAACAACTTAATATGAGATGATTCTATAGCATTCTTTGCCAGACTTCTTAAAATATTGAAATTAAAAAATTTTGAATTGGCTATTTTCTAATACCGTGTATTTAAATTCTCTTTAAAATATCTAGCCTTCATTCATGTACTGACAAATGTTTTCTCACAGAATTCGTATTGACTATACATCTGGCCACCAAAAGAAAATAGTTTAATATTAAAAAGCCAGTCTGCGAAAAAGGAATTGATTTTCTTCTATTAATATTTGAAACCATTAGATCAATCAAGTGGACACTTAACTATTTTAAAATAAAAATGTAAAGAACATGAAAATCATGCTTTGTAACCCTTTATTCTTAAACTTATTTTTTAGCTTTTTAAAGAATGGATTATTCTTAAATTGACACACTTATATAGTATAAACTTCTAATTGGCAGAAAACACACACTTATAGGTAATGTAATGCAGTTATACATGCGTAAAATGTAACGATAACTCTGAAATATATTAGAGATACTGTTGTTAGAGCAATTTAGGAAAAATATTATTTTTCAGTGACATGTACTGATTCGCACTCTTAAATATTAAAGGAGATTAGATATTATCCAATTTGTGGGGAGAAGTAAATACAATGCAAATGTTGAAGTGATGTAAATATCCTACCTTAAAGAAGTTGGAGGTTTTGCAGTTTTATTGGAATGTGTAAGACCCAGTGAGATTTTACTGAGAAGAAAATTATCTGGAGAGCTTTCCAAGGGTGAACAAACACTGTTCAATGATGGTGGCTTCTATTCGTTCATAAAACTTTTATCGAGAGCTTAATGACTCTGTTCTGCATGTTGGGTCTGCTAATGGATAAAATTTGGGGCTTCCCCTCTGGGAATTCTATGTTATAAATTCCATTTTAAGAGTTTATAGTCACTCAATAAATTTTGCTTGTATTTCCACCCAAATAGAGTTACTGTATTTTTATTGCATGGGTTATCAAGTTCTAAAATATTAGAAATCTTTTGAAAAAATTCCAAGCCATTTTGGGCAATGTTCTGTTGGTGCAAAAACCTATTGGTTAGATTAAAACCTACTATCTGGTTAAACCTATTCAATAAACATCTAGAATTTCATTTAAAAGGAAAATACCCGTGGCTGTGAAACATGGCTCATTCTTTCAAGGAACTTTGTGTCGAATTAGGTACAAATATACAAGGTATTTATCTACAAGTACCATCTTCCGGACTCCAAATCCAAGCCGTTGATTTGGATTTATTTTATAAACACTTTTTATTCCCTCCTTAAAGCCATAAATATGTTTGTATTTTTTGAGTAGCACCCGGATATGGTAGTACCTATGCCAGTAACTATTATTATAATTTCTAGATAATATTCAGTAGATTGAGCCTGCTGTAGTAGAAAGACTATTCACTGTGGAGTCAGACAGATCCAAGTTTGGTAGAGGTCTGTCTCCCATGTAGTAATCTGAGACCTAGATCTACTTTCTCAGACTCTGTGTTTTCACTTGTACTGGGAAGATAAATCCTAGCTTTTGGGGTAGCAGGGAGGATTCAGGGTAACATACACAGAGCTCTTCACACATGCTTGGCAGAGAGCAGGCACGAAAAACTCCCATGTGTTTGTCAGTGCGGCAGTGACAATACTTAGGCAATGATTTAGTGTTTTGAAAAATGACTTCACCTTCATTATCCAAGTTAACCCTTATATCGACTTCTGGAATTGAAATACGATCAATTCAGCTATTCAGATAAAGACACCAGGAAGTACAATTGCAGGGAGGAGTTTGATACATCCAGGCTTTGATTTCTTGTCTTCTAGCTCTAGATCCTGCTGTCTCCGTGAAGGATTGCGAATCATGAGAATTCAGTCTTGCCTTGTTCGCACCAGAAACTTACCTGCCTGGCTTTGGGCAACGTGTGCAGTTTCTTGAAGCCGCGGCTTCCTCACCTGGACATTGAGAACATTGTGCTCATTTATCTTCCCGATCCTTCCCAGTTGTACATGTACGCTGAAAGTCAGTATAGTGTAGTTGTTAAAGGCAAGGTGTTAGGAATGAACTCCTGGGATCCAATCCCGACTCTGACATCTGCTGGCTCTGTAAGCTTAGGCACGTCACTAGATCTCTCTAAGTCTCATTTTAGTCATCTTTATGGATTAATGAATAGCACTTACTTCAAAGCATCATCATTGTGAGGAATGAATGAATGAAATTACGCAGAGTATGTAGAATGGGATCTGGTACAGAGTAAGCGTTATATAAGTATCGTTGCTTATATTTATGCTAAAATTGTAACATCTAATACAGTGACTCCAGCTGAGCTATTTTAGCCCTTAAAGTCAAAGAGTAGACGTGCTTAGACACAGCTTCCGCATGCTGGATTGGTGGCCCGATCACATTCCTCTCCTTGTATGGCAGATGCAACTCGGTAGTTCTGTTCTAAAGAAGATTTACCAGAGGACATGACCACATATACCTACCAGGGTGCAATGTTCATCTTTCAAGAAATATGTTATGTCTATCAGTACACAGTCAGCTCTGAACCATCTCCTGGCACGTAACTGACCCCAGGAATCTGTTTCTCTAAATTGCCTGGGTCAGCGTGAAGGCACAGGTCAATGATTCTAATTAGACATTTGCTGAAGCATCAAAAGCATGGAAAAAATTCTTTGCAAAAAATTATTTGGGCATTTAAATTCCAAGCATTCGATGCATAGGCAAAGTCGTTTTGGTAGAATTATGAAAAATCTTACTTCGGTATGTTTTTTATAAAAAAAAAGTTTTATTTCAAGAACAAAAATGTTCTTTAAAATCTTCAAAACATCTCATATTCATATTAGATCTCACTGAAAAGCAGTTCCAATAATTGAACTTAGACACCTAGAAGACAATGGAGTCAACATAAAAGTCATGGGTAAATACAAGGCAAATAGCTTTAAAAAAGAAAGGGTTATCTCTACACTGTGAGCTCCTGAAACTTATCAGAAAAATCTTCTCACCCAAATAGTTGTTTAATTATATCACAAAGTCAAGCACAAAACTTATTTATAGTCCCCATACGTCAATTTTGCTTTGTAAGAATTACAAAGGTAAAGAAACAGCTGACATTTTCTCAAAACCACGACTAGCACTGTGCAAAAAAAAAAAAAAAAAATGACGACAACAACAACAACACGATTGCTTTCGTTCCATTTTTTTTTGCTTCTGTATTCACTCTTTCTTTTTTGCTAGGTGGCATGCATGCAGTGGTTTCATGGAGACCATACAATGCTTGAGATGATTGAGAAAAAGCGTTGCTTGTGCAAGGAAATAAAAGCTAGACAGAAAACGGAAAAAGGCCTTTGCAAACAGGATAGCATGCCTATCCTACCCAGCTGGAAGAAGAATGCAGGGGCAAAGAAGTACAGCCCTCCACCCTACTCTAAGCAGCAAACGGTGTTCTGGGACACCGCCATATGACTGTGCGCAGGATGGCGTGAGGTCCACACGGAGAGGGAGGTCGACTCAGTCTTGAGATAAAGAACTGTTACGTGTCTTCTCTGTCGGGATGGAATGCCAGTGCTTCCCCGGAAAACCCATGGGAAGCTGTGCCTACTCACAGGCAACTTCAACATAAAATGTATATTAATTGTATCCTTGCAATTAAGACACTTATTTATCCCGGATTATTTTGAATCCAAAAGATATTAAGATGTAAATATTTTACTAGTTTATGGGTGACACCTGAAATAATACACATTATACGGATATAAATTACAGAAATATCGAGAGTTTTACTATATGATATAATTTCGGTATTAACTGGTTTGTTATCTCTTTTATATGTAATCCCTTGATGCCTTTTATTATTAATTTTTGCATTTAAGACGTTATTATTTTTTTTCTGTCCACATTTGGCTTCTGTATGAGAGCTCACAGCTATAAAAATCATGTTCAATCACATAATATAAGATCTGGTGCTAGTAATGTAGAAATCGAGTATCATATTCGTCAAGAACATCTGTTGCTTTGTAAGTTTCTAAGGATTTGACAGGAAATGAATGCAAATGTGATGCTTAATTTGGACGTCCACATTACATCAATACCAATATTTTTGCTACATTGGCTTTATAAGAATTTCTCTTCAATATTGTCTTGTTTATACTAAGCAATCATTAGACTCCAGAGAAAGTTATTAGGATATATTTGGATTTCCCAGCAGAAAACATTTCCTTCAGAAATGACTTTAGGGACATGTGTCCTTGCATCATTGATCTGATTGGAGGAGACCAGGGTTCACTGTGACAATGGAAGGAATAAGGAATCAATAGCTAACTAGCATGACTGCTTTCAAGAAAGCAGGACCAGGGGCCTCACAGCCACTGCAATCACTATTTTTAAGTAACTTTTCACGTGTATGTTTGTTTCCCCTAGAAAATGAGAAATAAACATTCAGACGGACGCATTTACATATTTTAGTACATTAAATGCCAATCTGTCTCAAAATTAAGGCCCATTAACAAACTAGTGTTTCTTAAGTTTTTTCAAACGAGTTCTCACCACATTTTGGGGTCGTAATCTTCTGTGCATGACCATCACACCCGTTCTTACTGCTTAGGACACCATGACCAAAGAGTTTTGACCCCTTGTTTCTTTTATTTTGTTTCCAGGAAGAAGCGGGAAATGCAGGGGAGAGGGGGTGGAAGGGGTGGATTCAATTTTATGTGGTGGTAAAATTTAAGTTAAACAAATCATATATATCTTTTAAGAATAACTTGTTAGTTGAATATAAATATTGCCACGGATGAATAAAAAGGAAACTATCGCGTATATTTTGTAATATTTAAATTACTATTTATGCTTCCTAAAATTGACAGTATGTGATTCTTCTTTAACAATCAATTTAGTATTATATTTCTGAGAGAAAAAGGTACGTGTTTGAAGTTATTGTCATAGTGGTTTTCCTCATAAGGGTGTTGACAGCAAGAGTCACTGCTGCTCAATAAAACCAAATAACAGGAGTTAGGGAATTTTTGTAATCTATATTGCTAACAACCTAGTGATGCTTTACCAGTAATCGTTCCTTTCAAGCCTTTGAAATGCTATAAAATAATTTTTTAATATTTTATAAGTAATGGATATTTTGATGTCCAACTAGAATTCTGAAAGAATAAGGAAAAAGGGTAAGTGGGAGCATATGTATCTGTTGTTTTTGCGTGAACGAGTTCTCAGCAGGAGAACTGTATACGTACAGTGCTTACTGAGGTTTTAGGTTTTGCTTGTATCACTGAAGTGGTAAAAAAACAAACAAACAAAAAAGCAGGATCACAAGTACAGGAAATCATGGAGAGATCTTACGTGGCTTCAATAAATCCTACTGCCGTGTTTCACCAGTTAGAGATTATATTTCAAACCCAACAATCAATGGAGTACCAATTGAAGAGGGATGGAAATGTGTTCAGATAAAATCAGCATAGACATAAAATGTGCTGAGGACCCAGGTTAGCCTGATTCAGGTCATTCTGACCACAGGTACTCAAGCCAATCAATGAGGCGTAAGACATCAATTCTCAGCATCTTGATGATGATCTTGGTGTATGTCTATGTATATTCAGGCTCAGTATGGTAATGGCTGGGTAATTCCTTTGAAATTTATATTTCGGTAACATATCCAAGTGTGTTTTTCAGATGCCAATCTTTCCCCTTATCTTTCTGAATAAGGGAGAAGATATTTCTCACTGCTGGCCACTTGTCGAGAAGGAAACAGAGGTACTGAAATGATGTGTGTTGGATTCAGACATTCCCATTTGTTCTGCCAAACTCATGATGTTGCCAGGTTTCATGGACTCTTTTTTCAAGCAAGTTATTTTCTGAGAAGGCAGCTTGTTTGAAAATCTGACCTTGGGCAACTATTTCTATTTAATATCTCCAAATCTTCCTTTCCATGGGAAGTAATTGAACGATCTGGAAAAGTGGCTTCGCTGATATTTGACTCCGTAACTTTTATTCAGTGCCCAAACCCCTGTCCATCGCAGCTTAGCTGATAGGGCCATAACCATTCTATAATTAATTTTCTCTTTGTGTAGCGCTTCTTTGTATGGAGAAAAAGAAGTCATTAGGATACAAAGAAAAATCAGTGTATTCTCTTGTGGCAGGCAACCAGGATGCTTCAGTCTGTGAACTTGGTCAGATGATCAACATTCCACATACAGAACACAATGGGAAGGTATAGCTCATATGTTTAGCAGTGCCAAAGAGCAAATGGTATCCTGGCATGGTTATCGGGTGGGAAGAGCTCATACCTATGAGAAATGGTCTTTTCACAGCAAATTTTACAGAAACAGAACTTTATTGGCTGTCAGCAAGATGCTTTCCTGTAGGAAGAACTTGTTAGCACACAAGAGACCAATTTCTTTAGAGTCCATGTAAGGGAAAAATCAAATTCTGCATTTCTGTGCAATGCCAGAAACTAGCATCTTCTGAAGTTTTATGGCAGTTCCTCACAGGAACACTGCTACCCTTTCCCCCATATTTATGCTGCGGACGCAAGTTCAGGTGAAGGTGATTGATTTGCATTAAGTGAAGATTAATGTCCACCCATACAAAATATTCGGGAAACTGAAAGAAAGCAAAAATTAAGAGGTTAACGTTTGTGGTTTTAAAGAATATACACATTCAAATATCCAGAAATGGTCTGGATACCACAAGATACAACTTCCCTTTTCAAAACAGGATGTTGGGACTTGGGACACGGAGGTTCCATATAGTTTTGTTGAATGCTTCCAGAGAATAGAGAAACATTTTTCTTACTACACTCTGGCTTTGGCCTCATCCTCACATATCATTTGGTTTGACTCTTTGGGCACGTTTAGTAATCAAGTAAAGAAAGAAAGAAAAAGAAAAGAACTAAGCAACCTTTTTGGGTTATAGTTTTAATGAACTATATAGAAGGCATCAAAACAATGCACGTTAACGATACAATTTAAATATCACCTATATGTTAAAGTGAATCACTTCACTAAAGCAGAAAAGAGATTGTAAGTTCATTATGGCTACCTATAAAATTAAAAAAAAAAAACTTTCCTCTGATTTAAGCAGTAGGTGATCTGAGAGGAGATACAATTTACCCTTTTAAAGGAATACAAGTAGGATGGAATAACAATTCATAGGGCATTGTATCCCAAACTTAAATGGAACTGAAGAAAAATGGTACCTATAATATGTAAGATTAACTTACTACATCTTCCCTCCATGGGAACATTGATAGCTAATTGTAGAATGTGGACAATTTATTAATTTATTATTAGCAGTTCATGGTTGAGAAATGTATTAGTTATTTTTAAAAATTCTGTGAAGCACTTGGAATTAAATATTCAAAAAGATATGATCCCTGCCTTCAAGGAACTTAATTATGCAATCCTTAAAGTTTCAAAACAAAGCCAATTATTTCTAAGAAGGTATACAATATCACATGTTTGACATCTCCTTTATGTTTATATATGGTATTCTCTCTTTTTTTCCAGATCAAGTGTACAGTCGAAAAAAATACTAAAACATATTAAAGTTAATGTCTAAGTATAAAATGTTTATGTATAAGACTCTATATGTACACATAGGATATGTACTGCTGTCTATGTATCTCAGTAAAAGGATAACACGTTTGCCATGTTGGACTTGAACATTGTGGCTTGTTGTTTGGATTGATTTAAAACCCTTTGATATTTGGGTCAATTACATTGCAGCAAAGTGTGTGTAATCTGGAAAAAAAAAAACCATCTGATTACATTTCCCTTTAAATATTACACAGTTTCAAATTTAAGGGGAAACACCTTTACAGAAACATTGCTGGATTTATCGCAACCAAGTACGTATGAAGATCTTGTCAAAGTGTTCAATTGTCCCCAAATGTGACTGGGTTCGCCCACCCTAAAAACATCTACATTTACACATGTATACACCCACATACAGTATACATACTGTATATAATATATATGAAAATGTTTAGTATGCACTTCTTTTGTTTGGAACTCCTTGAGTTAACATTTATAGTGTAGCAATTGGCATAAAGTGCACTGTGATTATAAAAAGCAAAGCACAGTAAAGTCACAGGTCTTGTTATCTTGCACTAAAAATGTGTTTACGTATTTAGCAATTGTATGTTTACTTTTTTGCTCTTTTCAAGAAACTAAAACAAATAGCTATTGAGAGATGATATAAAATATTGTTTTCTAGTGGATAATGGCACGACATTTTTAAAAGACAGGGTTTTTAAAAGAAACCATTAAACATCCATTTCAACATAACGTGTTTACCGTATCGAAGAAGCTGAATGTCATATTACATTTTCATAACTCATTAAAAATGTCAGGTATGTGCCTGAAAAATTGTGCAAATAAGCATTAGCTAACAGATTTCTCTATTCATGTGTTGTTCGCCATTTCTATATGCATATTAATATAAACACTGATGTTTTAATTTCT